AAACGTCATAAACCCAGAAGGGGTGTAAATAATGCAACTCTTTTTTCGATTATTTCATCCTTCCTTAAATTTTTCTTACGTTAATTTCGGGTCACTGTGCGTTAGATTTAGGTGCAAAATGTCCATAAAAGAAGTGGGTCTGAGCCAGTTAAATCCCAAAAATACTTTGAGCGAGATCAAACCAGCCTAAGTATAAGTCAATCGAATTTGAGCAGATAATATAACCTAACATCAGTTGTGGTCAAAGTTTCTTGTTTCCCGTGGCAATATTTAAATGTTTTTATAAGTATTATGCAACTTCCCATCATTTTCGGTTGGTTGATATTATTGATGCTGGATTGTACTTCAACTGTTTTGGATATTTGGTAACTTTGGTTTTGGATTTTGGATCTCTTCAACTATATCCCTCGCCCGGATACCCAGTAACAAATATCGCCCCCTATAAAGAAATAAATGAACGGCTGAACGGCTAAGCATATAAGAATTTTGAATTTTATACCTAGCAACGAATCCCCCCCACCCCTTTGCGAAAGGGGGATATGGTTAAAGAGATCCCCCGTGGCACCTAGTTAAGAATCGACACTCCTATCATGAACGAATTCAACGGTTAAACATCTGTGAATTTTTTACCTTGTAACAAATCCAACCAACCCTATCTTTTGCAATAGGGGAGGAAATAATTAACAAGATACGCGGGTCAACACACCACCAACGTACCACCAAGTTTTCAAACTGTTCAAGTTAGTCTAAACTTAAAATGCCCCTTACTTGGTTGCACTTTATTTTATTCAGAGGTCAATTCGGTATATGAATCAATCAAGTTTTAGAAAATAACGCCTTTACAAGCAATTCATATGAAGGGTAATTCATATGATGAGTACATACCATGTTCTTTTCGTCTGCGACAGGCCAGCAGATGCCACTGTTGGGGTCACCCACAGTTTCCCACCTGAGGAACCCGAACAAAATGATGGGCAGAGTGAGACTCAGCAGACAGATGCACACGAACACCACCCAGAACACCTGCAACACCACGTGAACACATTTACAATATTCTAATTTGTTTTCAAGAAGGGAACAGTATGTTTATTAGTAACAAAGCTTATCAAAAAAATATCATCTTGGAAGAACACCAAAAAGGCAAGTTGGCTGAAGAAGGGAACAGTGTTTATTATTAACAAAGCTTATCAAAAAAATATCATCTTGGAAGAACACCAAAAAAAGCAAGTTGGCTACCTAACGAGTCTTGCCTCTAATTAAAATGCTAATAAAACATTATTAGGCAACAGTTCATAATAAGTTTATAATTCATAAGTTAATAACTCATAGTTGATTATCATAATCGTAAATTTTTTCAACTAGCAGAAAAATCAGCCCTCACAATAAATAACCCATAGTGCCTAAACTACTTGAAAACTGACCAGATGGCGGTTTGCCGGGAAAGAAGCGAAGAGATTTATGAACAGACTGATTTAAGAATCGAAAATCAAAAATAAGGAAACAAACTTCAAAATATCAAAAAAAAATTTCCTAGTGAAGGTTGACTGAATAAGTTCGCTAAATTATCGCTTATTTAGTCCTAAATCTTCGTTTCTTTAATATTGTTGAAATTGTATAGAAAAGTCTGCCTCTTTAGTCTAATTCAGTCTGAAAATCGAAAATATTAAAACTCCGATCAGTTTTTCTCAACACTATTTTTTCAACGAGAACTATTTTTTCTATATTTAATCTTAGCCAATAAGGCTGAAATAAAATACCAGTTGTCTTCGCTTAAAATGTTTTGAGGAAGTCAAAAATGACAGAAAGTTTTTTTAAAAAAAACTCTACGTCGTATTTCTTTTCCACTCTTCGAGAGGGGTCGGAAAAATAACACATAATTATGTTATATATCAACTGGTTATTTTATACCAGAAAAAAAAAAATTAAAAGCAAATAAAAACATACACTTACAAAAGTATTTATCAAACTCTTAGATTAAATGCTTAATCTACTAATTACACGACAAAAGTATTTATCAAACTTTTAGATTAAATGCTTAATCTACCAACTACCAGTAAAAAAAGAATCCAGAGCGCGTGATAGCCAATTAAACAGTTATAGGCTAGTCTTCTGGAGCGAAAGGGAGGCAAAATTGATATACTGGGTCAACCACAATTAAGCAGTGTTACAATTATCCTAATTTATTATTCACCCCCAAGTATTTTTTAGTTATAACGCACAGCAATGCATATAGTACATGGATAGACTTACTAAAACTATTAAAGTAGTGAAAACCAAAATTTTATTGAAAAAACGATATTTTTTCTTTAGTTTACTTTTCCAGCAAATGACTGCAAAAATCGACAGAAAAACTTTAATTAATTTTAACTGAAAATTGAAGTATAATTGTACTTTAAAATTTGGTTTACTTTAATTCTGAAAAAAGAATAAATTCAGACTTCAAAACTGAGAAAAGTTTTTGATTTTTCGTTGGAACTCGAATCAAAGGTGGTGAGGTTTTCAATGTTAACCCCTTTTTGCTACTTGCGAGCTTTTTCTTTGGATGTCAAAACCGGACAATAGGAAAATCATAGATTCAAAGCTAACCCATTGTTTCTTCCCTCCTCTTTGTGCAGCGGTAGGAACAAAAAGGCAACGTTTTCAAACTAAATTTTTCCTTATAGTAAGTTTTCCAGAATATCAAAAAAAATGAAGTAGCCATGCATAGATTTTTTGTAGTTTCTTCGTTTATGCTCGATGTTTGCCAGCAAGTCAATTTTTAAAAACTTAAAGTTAGTTTTTTTTAAAGTTAATAGTTTCTTGAGCTGATGGTTTCGCGTGAACAAAATTTTTGATTAAAATAATAGTTGTTGATAGAAAATTGACCCATTATTGCAACAAACTATCTCGTGCAATCAATTTTTGCGAAGTTTTGCGGAGCTTATCTAATCTAATGTGTTAAATTAGTGGAAAAAATTTATGCGTTACGTCCATTTATCTAAAAGAGGCGCCTGAAGACAGTCTACAAAGTTTCACGGCGTTATCACAATGACCTTTTACAGTGAATGAAGTCTGAATCGCAAACAATTTAACTTTATTTCGATCATAAACTCAAACAAGACTGAATGTGCCGACTGCCTTTTAGGATTTATGGAGCAGCAATAACATTAAAAAAATCATTACGAGGCCAAAATGTGCACTGGATAGGCGCACAATTTTGTGTCTGTATGTTCCTGGATTCCAGAGACAAATCTTTAAACAAGTTGCAAAAAGTAAGTGGATTCCACTTAGAAAAGTTTCGTGGATTCCGCGTACAAATAGCTGTAACGTAAGTTTTGTTTTGTCAGCACAATTTTTTTGTCAGCAAATATAGCTAGTTGTTCTGAATTCCGCAACTGCAAGTGAATTCCGCAAAATGTAAGTGGAATTGCCAAAATGTAAGTGGAACCCGCAATTTTAAGTGTAATTCGCAAAGAAAATGCGGTTTCCACTAACAATTTGCGGATTCCGCTTACAATTTGCGGATTCTACTTACAATTCGCGGGTTCTGCTTCCAGTTGCGGATTCCGCAACAGCTCAATTTAACTATACACATGTTTTATTATATGTTTTTCTGGATGTTCTGGATTCCGCATTTTTGGAGCGATTTTGAGCGGTACAAGGTTTTAAGTATTTGTTTGTGGAATCCAAAACAGCAAAAAAGATCGGAAAAACGTAGAAATTTTGTGGACTCCGCGACAAATCTGATTTTGGCCTGTTGCGGAATCCATTTACAATGCACAAAATGCACAGTTTGGGCCTGGTAACAATTAAATGGAAAAAAATGAACTTTTTTTTATAAAACTTGAGATTTTTGTGAAAATCATGATCCACATGCTATTTAAAGTACAAAAGTATAGATTTGCTCCAAGTAACAAATCAATTATGGCAAATAAGCTTCTTTCAACAAATTTGAAACGATTTCTAAGACGGATTAAATTTCCGCTTACGCGTTAATAGAGCGAACTATATAGCGCGTTAATTGTTCCAAATTGGCCAAAACGGCTGTCTTTAAGCCCCCAAAACTTCACAAAAATTGATCACAGGGGAAATATTTTTCCAAAATTAAATTCAAGACAAGAATACCTTTTAAATAATATTAAAAAAATTCCGTCGAAAATGGCTAGTTAAAAAGTCGAAATTTGTCTGAAGAAAAAAAAAACCCACCCGAGCACAAATATTTCGTTATTTTCATTACAAAAATTGGAACAAAAACAAAATTCTTGCAACTGTTTTGTTAGCACAGAAATGAGGAAACAAATTTTTACTACACAATTTTAGCCTGATTTTTGTAGTTTTAATTATGGTTTTGTAAATGGAATTTATGCAAATCGAATTGCTTTTCAGTTACTTGAGCTAAATATTGACATTAGTTGCGTTTTATTGCAAACCTATAGCTTTGAATGATAAAAGAGCGTTAGAAAAGAAACAATTCGGAATTGGTCTAATGGCATAAAGCAAACAATAGTTTCCGTCAATTTTTGCCTAATATTGCATATCCGAGCGTGATGGAAACGTCAAGCGGACAAAGCACAAAGAAAGGGCGTGGAAGTTACTTTGAAATGAAAAGTGGAATAATTTTTTTTATTGAAAATCAACTTTGAAAAAGTAAAGAAAAATTTCCTTTTTTTTTGGTGCTGAAATCCTAAAAGTTTTTTCACAGGTTGTAGCTTCCCGTTTCTCTTTTTTAATCTAAAATAAGTTTTTTTTTGCACAACTGATAGTTATTAAAAAGATTGCAATAATGAGGATTTCAATTGAGTTTTTGCTTTTGGGAAAACTTTAGGATGTTTTGTTTCCTATTTGAAATGATCCAATAGCAATTGAAAACCCAAAAGACATTATTAGCTTCAAGACAGCTTTGTTGTGACCAAATAAGGCTTCGATTGATTCAATTTGAGGTTTTTGAGCGTTGACAATTGCGATCAGGGAAAAGTTAGAAAACAGCCCACTCTGACCCAATTACCTCACAGGGAACCGACCACTTCACCACCCAACTTACTCCCTCGGTATCCGTTTTTTTTTCAACCAATGGAGCATTTTTTATAGTATAATATTTTTGAAGGGGAGTGCGAACCAAATAAAAGTCAATTTTTAGGTCAAGTCTTTGAAGCGCCTTTTTTTGCTTGCTTTTTTTTCAAAAGAATATTGCTGCGGTGTAAAATCATTGGGACCATTTTTGTGTTTTAAAAGAACTGGTAAAATCAATTTGTCAACTTACAAAAAATCATCAACAATCAAAAATCCGCCTCTAGATCCGCCTCTGTTAGTTTTTACTCCTATAAATGAGTCAAGATTGGTTTTTTGCTGTTCGATTTCATCGCCAACAAAGGGTAATCTTTCGGTATTATTTTATGACTTCTGTTTTGGCGATCAATTGTATCCTTTTTCTAACAGCGCTTTTGCTACCAGAATATGCTGATTATGAAGGCGACCCTTTTTTGGGCAACAAATTTTCAAAAAATGCCCACTTTCTGGTGTTCTGGGAACGCTCGGAATTTTAATTTGGTCGACTGAAAAAAAGTCGACAAATCCCACCTCCGAGAAAGTCCTAGATCAACCCGCGGGTCTACATCTAAAAAAAAATTGGGTTGAGAAAATTATTTTTGAAAGAACCAACTTGAAGATTTCAAAAAAATTCCTCCATTTGTCGGGGCTTAAAGTGGTTACATGCACCAAAATTTCATGGACAACAAAAAATTATACTAGATTTTGGTTTTCCAAATATGTGATTTGTTTACACCATTACCTCCAACCCCGTACTCCCACCAAGTCCCCACAACAAGCCCCCACCCTCATGCTATCACCAAAAAATGATGGAAAAAAATGAAGGATTACCTAACAGTGCATATTTGTACGTATTAGTGCCATAAACAAGTCACACCTCCCCGCTTACAGCCCCCTCCTGTAGTGGAAACTGCTGTTAAACTGGTTATTTAATTATCGTAGAAACACTAACATGCATGGTTCTTATGTAACATGATCATGGTCAATGTTACAGTGAA